AGTTGCTCCATCTAGGCTATATTTCCTAGACTGGTTATCTGAGACATATCAAAAGACTTACAAAAGTCAAGATATACCCCATCTACTGCTTCTTCCCTGTCCACAAGTCTTCTTACCTTATGAAAGAACACTATTTCTACAGACATGTTAGCAATAAAGGGGCATCAGAGAGTGTGTGGGGCCCTTACTGGATGAGGGAGGTAACCTAGTGATAGATGATGTAGGAAAAGCCGAAGTACTCAATGCTTTCTTTGCCTCTGTCTTCACAGACAAGGTTGGCTCCCAGACAAATGCACTAGGCAACGCAATATGGAAAGGAGGTGGATAGCCCTTGGTGGAGAAAGAACAAATTAGGAACTATTTAGAAAAGCTAAACATACACAAGTCCATGGGCCCAGATTTAATGCATCCGAGGGTACTGAGGGAGTTGGCAAATGTCATTGCGGAGCCTTTGGCCATTATCTTTGAAAACTCGTGGAGATAGGGAGAGATCCCGGATGATTGGAAAAAGGCAAATGTAGTGCCCATCTTTAAAAAAGTGAAGAAGGACAATCCAGGGAACTACAGGCCAGTCAGCCTTACCTCAGTCCCTGGAAAAATCACGGAGGGGATCCTCAAGGAATCTATTCTGAAGCACTTGGAAGAGGGAAAAGTGATCAGGAATAGTCAACATGGATTCACGAAGGGCAAGTCGTGCCTGACCAATCTAATTAGCTTCTATAATGAGGTAACTGGCTCTGTGGATATGGGAAAGTTAGTGGCTGTGATATATCTTGACTTTAGCAAAGCTTTTGATATTTTCTCCCACAATATTCCTGCCAGCAACTTAAGAGAATATGGATTGGATAAATGGACCATAAGATGGCTAGACTGTCGGGAGCAATGGGTAGCGATCAATGGCTTGATGTCAGGTTGGCGGTCGGTTTCTAGCGGAGTACCCCAAGATAATCTGTTCTAGGACCAGTTTTGTTCAATATCTTTATTAGTACCCGGAATGAAGGGAGAGATTGCATCCTCAGCAAGTTGGTAAATGACACTAAGCTGGGGGGAGAGGTAGATACGCTGGAGGGCAGGGACAGGGTCCAGAGTGACCTGGACAGATTAGAGGATGGGGCCCAAAGAAATCTGATGAGGTTCAACAAGGACAAGGACAAGAATCCTGCACTTGGGACGGAAGAATCCCAAGCATTGTTACAGGCTGAGGACTGAATGGCTAAGTAGCAGTTCTGATGAAAAGGACCTGGGGATTACAGTGGATGAGAAACTGGGTATGAGTGAACAGTGTGCCCTTGTAGCCAAGAAGGCTAATTGCATATTAGGGTGCATTAGGAGGAGCATTGCCAGCAGATACAGAGAAGTGATTATTTCCCTTTATTCAGCTCTGGTGAGGCCACATCTGGAGTATTGTGTCCAGTTCTTGGCCTCCACTATAGAAAGGATGTGGACACATTGGAGAGAATCCAGTGGAGGATGAATAAAATGATTAGGGGGCTGGAGCAAATGACCTATGAGGAGAGACTGAGTGATTTGGGTTTGTTTAGTCTGCAGAAGAGAAGAGTGAGGGGGAATTTGATAGCAGCCTTCAACTTCCTGAAGGGAGGTTCCAAAGAGGATAGAGAAAGGCTGTTCATAGTAGTGACGGATGGCAGAACAAGGAGCAATGGTCTCAAGTTACAGTGGGAGAGATCTAGGTTGGATATTAGGAAAATCTATTTCACTAGGAGGGTGGTGAAGCACTGGAATGGTGGTGGAATCTCCATCCATAGAGGTTTTTAAGTCTCATTTTGAGTAAGCCCTAGCTGGGTTGATTTAGTTGGGATTGGTCCTGCTTTGGGCAGGGGGCTGGACTTGATGACCCTCTGAGGTCTCTTCCAGTTCTATGATTGCGTTGGCTTGACATGATTTATTCTTGACAAATCCAAGTTGATTTATCACCTTGTCTTTTAGGCCTCTAGATAGGAGGTGTTTGATAAAACTTCTTAACTATTCTTTTGTTATCCATCAGCATGGCAAAGCATCAGTTTCACTGCAACTATTCAAAAGCTTGTGTGCATCAGTGAAACTGTCAAAAAAGCCAATTTCAAGCAACTGCTTCTCAGAAAACAATTAGCCACAGAAGGAGCTATTGTAAACATGCGGGTTATGTCACAGGGGAAAGACCTTACATTAAAATAAATGAAAGGTGGGGACAGAGTGAACTAGTAGTCTGTGAAAGAAAGATAATGACAGAGAGATTCTTAACAGAGAAAGGAAAAAAAAAGAAAGTTCTCTTATCCCCACCATCCCCTTCTAACCACTAGATGTGAATGAAAGAAGAACACTATGGCTATGTCTACACTCGCGGCTTCTTGTGGGAGTAATATGCAAATGAGGCTCAGCATGGAATATCGCTGAGCCTCATTTGCATACCTAACGAGCCACCTTTTTTTCCAGAAGAGGCTCTTGCGCAAGGAGCATCTACACTGCCCCTTCTTGCGCAAGAAAAACCCTCTTGCGCAATGCCGTTACACCTATTACTTTTCAGTATTGCGCAAGAGTGTAGACGTAGCCTACATGTGGTTGCTAAAGACAACTACCCGGTAAAAAATAAAGGCTGTGTCTACACTCCTGCTTTTTCCCAGAAAAGGAAATGCTAATCGAGCGCTAATTAGCATATATCTCGCTCTCATTTGCATATTCTTTTCCAATCCTTTTTGCAGAAGAGGTTTTTGAGCAAAAAAACCGCAGTGTAGATGGGGCCATTTTGTACAAAAAAACCCTTTAATGCAAGAACCCATATTCCTTAAGGTTCTTGAGGAATAAGGGGTTCTTGCGCAAAAGTGTTTTTTTGTGCAAAATGGCCCCATCTACACTGTGGTTTTTTGCTCAAAATCCTCTTCTGCAAAAAGGATTGGAAAAGAATATGCAAATGAGAGCATGAGATATGCTAATTAGTGCTCCATTTGCATTTCCTTTTCTGCGAAAAAGCAGGAGTGTAGATATAGCCTCAGACTCCTCACTCTTCTCAACTGTTGGTCAGTTCATACATCTCATCCTCCATAAATACCTCTAAGAATAGAGTTAGTTCTCGAGTTATAGTGTCTTGTAATCTCTTCAATCCTCCGCTGCATAACTTAAGACAAAACAAAGGTAAAGTAATCTGAAGAAGTGGGTTATGCCCACGAAAGCTCATCTACATGTTTTTTTAGTTTTTAATGTGCTGCAAGACTATTTGTTGTTTAAGTTTTTCCAGTTTTGCTGTGTCTAGACCACAGTTTTACTTTCTAAATAGTGCTTTTTCAAAAAAGCGCCATGACACAATTATGCAAATCAAGGGCAGGATATTTAAATCCCCACTTCATTTGCACTTTCAAAGTGCCTCATTTACATCCCTCTGCCAACAGAGGGATGTAGTCTAGACATAGCATTACAGACTAACTCGGCTACCCCTCTGAAGTTTTTAAAAAGTAATGTTAATGTTCCATTTTGAATTAGCAGTTGAAAAACTGGTCATCGTGCTCATCTGTGTCTGTTACAGTTTCCTAGCATTTTAAATAACCATCATAATCAATGAAAAACGTTTTTATTTTCAACATGCTGTTAGGTATATATTTTCAGGGATCATAAATCAACACTGTAGTGCCAGTGTTATCTCAAGTTCAATTCCCAGCTCAAGCACTGATTTGTTATGGGCCTGAAGCAGGTTAACCCTCTTATATGCCTCACTTTTAGCATCTGTGAAATAGGTTTTGAAAAATGTACCAGCCACCTACTAAAAGAGTTCTAAAGCTATTAACTATATGCCAGTGAGAAATATGCTTGTTTTCCTTCAGCAAATTTCAAAGCCAATTCCTTGGTAGGAAACCTAGACTGCAACTGCTGAAAAGGTGAGCAATGTCCCAATCTTTCATCTTTCTGCCTCTAGACAGGAGGCAATTGATCTAATGCTGCTTCTCACTTCCAGCAGTTTGTTTTCTCTCTCTTCCCCACACAGCTTCCTGGCTGCTAGCAGAGGGTAAAAATACATCTTACACCCCTTCTCAGGAGGTATGCAACTCCAGCTATGTTAATTACATAGCTAGAGTCCACATACCTTGTTTCAAGTTTCCCCACCAACTCTACAGTGGGAGGCTGAAGGGAGCAAATGCTCCCATCAGCTTCCCTCCAGGCATCCTCTGAGTTCCATTTAGTGAGTCTTAACCAGACTCACTAAATCAAACTCTGTAAAATAGAGCTCAGCAGCTTCAATTCTCCCTTCAGTGAAGGGGAGGTAAGAATCATTCCACTGTTTCATTCCACCTACAAGCATATTTTGGGGGGGTACCTTTGAAGGGCATTCCTTAACAGAAACAACATGACATTGACATCAGATTCATCTGTTTTACTGCTAAGCCATTGGTCTCCCTGTAGCAGTGAAACTGACCAGTCTTGTCAATTCTATTCTGAAATACCTGAAGATTTAAGAAGAATTTTCTCTGCAATGAATAGAAACTTAAATGCTACACGAACTGGCTGTGAAAGCTCCCCATTAATGAGTGGATTTTCAATCTTAGTGTTAACTCCCTACCGCCTCCAGGATAGTTCAGGTTAATGGAGGAAAGACATTAAAGGACCAGCATCCCCTTATTTGTCCCTTTGTGCCGTAACAAGCCTGGGGGTTGTATGAGAAGAGGTCCCAGATCCGCCTGACACGTCCTTCCCCTCCGAGCCTCCTCCCCACACGAGGCCCTGGTTCCTGGCGTAGAAAAAGCGCTTCGATTTCCTTTGGTGTCCGGTGGGGATGGGAGCGAGGAAGCCCAGTGGCTCATCCCCTCCTCTCCTCGCCACGAGAGACGTTAGTGAGACTGAGTAACGGCTGCGGGGCTAGTGAGGGCGGAAGATTTCTCCTGCTGTCTGAGTGCCTGGGCAGGCCCCTTCCTCTGAGAGCCAGGAAATGGGGTGTCGCCTCCCCGGAGAGGCCCTCTCACGCACCCCACGAACGGGAAGAGGGGGCGAGGATCTCCCACCCCCTCTTTACTGACCTGCCGCAGGATGGCTTTCCAGGGGGTCCCCTACGGAGCAATTCCCCTCACCCCACTCAGTCTCCTCCAGCCTCTCTCACACAGCCGCATTACCCTCCTCTTGCCCCTCGCAGATCTCTCCGCCCCCTCACAGCCTCTCTCCCCGCTCCTATTTCCCCGTAGAAAGACTCTGCAAGGGACTCGACAACGAAGGCGGATGGAACCGACTCCTCTAGCTCCACCTTTGAGGCCGGAGAAAGGAAAGGGGCAGAAAGGCAGCGAGGAACTATTTGATCCAGCTGGCGGCAGTGTACTGACTCCTGCACGCACAGTGACGTGTTCAATTTTTAAAGGGCCGGCGGCAGGGTGGGCGCAAAGGATGCTGGGGGTCGTAGTTTCCCCCTTTTCCAGCACCGACCACGCTGGGAGCATGTCTCGACAAACCGGTCGAGCCTACCTCGCCGCGCCACGCCCTTTGCTACGATTCGAGCCAATCGGCGTGCGCTTTGGGGTCGCGCGCTCCTGGCTC